CAGGGGTCATTTCCTGCAGGAGCGCACAGGAGCGGAGCTCCGGCAGTAAAGAGCCCAGGGGGCGGGCACATGCAACAAGCCCCACCCCCTGCTCCCAGCAGCTCTCAGTCAGAGCAAGAAGCAGCCAGGTAAGTTGCAGAGCCCCCCGGCCCCCCAGTCCTAAACAGTCCAGTGGCACCTTTAAGACCAAGTTTTGTTCAGGTGCAAGCTCTCCCTCCTCTGCGAGGACAGATCTGCATGTCCCCCCCCCCCCAAAAAAGCTAGCAATCCAAAACAGTCCAGTGGTGCCTTCTGACACACTTCTAGTGATGTCAGGGGGTGTGGCATATGCAAATAAGTTATGCTAATGAGTTATGCTAATGAGTTATGCTAATGAGCTCCTGCACCTCTTTGTCTAATATGCTAATTCTGGTCCTCATACATGTATTCTCAACAAGAAGACTATACATCCTCTGTATTTCAGTGTATTTCTTTTTCAGAATTTTGCCATATTTATTGCTTTGCTGTCCTTTCCACCTTAATTAAATCAAAACAACTGTTGACCTTATAACCTTGTTGTTGTTGTTCAGTCGCACAGTCGAGTCCGACTCTTCGCGACCCCATGGACCAGATCACGCCAGGCCTTCCTGTCTTCCGCCATCCTCTGTTGTTGGCTCAATCTCATGTTCGTTGCATCTATGACACTGTCTAACCATCTCATCCTTTGCCGTCCCCTTCTTTGACCTTCAGTCTTATAACCTTAGATTGTTACTTAGTTTTGTCTTTGCATGTCTTAAAACATCTTCATCATGTTACATGCTAATTTGCTGTTCAGCCTCTGTCTATAAGTTTGAACTCTACCTTACATTCCAATGTATTTGAAAAAGTGCGCATGCACACGAAAGCTCATACCTCGAATAAACCTTTGTTGGTCTTACAGCTGCCACTGGACTCTAAATTTGTTCTAGTTATTCATACCGTAACAGAGACATTAATTAGTTGTTCCTAAATTATTATACTACAGTTTGCTCTTGGCAGCTGGTTTAGCTTGGCAGAAATTTGTTTTGGGATAGCTTTGGACAGCAGAGTGTTTTCTGTGAAAAGGTCATAAGGCTTAGCTCCAAGGCTGTGTTACCATGATTAGATATGCAATAGTCTGCAACAATTGGTTCTAAGAACCAACCAATTTCAGTTCCCAAATACCTGTCATCACCATCACTGATGCACTCAGGAAGAGCAAGGCTACAGCCGAACAGCATGATGTGTTGATAGCAGCTGAGGCGGTAGAGATAACCGAAGAACTTGAGAAATTTTTCAATTTCAATGCTTTTGACAATGGGAAGCACTGGACTTAAAGTAGTGTGGTTATATGGCAGCATTTGGCACTGGCTGTAGGTGATATTTATGCAGGAACCTGTGAAATGAAAACACATTTAGAACATGAACCAACAATATTATCATACTAGAAGCCTATAGCCAAAGAATAAACTGTACAGTTCACTACATGAAAATTAGTTTCTTACTTCATTTCTTTTACTAGCTGCTTCTTGCCTTGTCTCAGTGGCGGTTGTTCTTTTCCTCAAGCTTTCATTTACATTTCCCTTGAATTCCTGTCTATTCTATACCATTTCTTCAGCCACTTTGCCTCTGGGCTTCCTGTCCCTTAGCTTCCCTACCTCCCAGGATCTTTTACTATCCATCATCGTATCCTACAAGTTGTGTCAGTTCCGAGGTCAGCAGGAGGTTTTAGTCCCAGCAAGACTGATTCTTTTCCTTTCCTCTCACATGCTGATAGTTTTGTTCCCTAACCACCTAGAATGTTCATGAACACTCTGTGTCAGGGGTCACCCAACTTTTAAAGCCTGCTGGCACTTTTGGAATCCTGACACAAGGTGGTGAACACAACAACAAAATGTTCACCACGGGAGGTAAAGCCAACCACAAAATTTCAGGGAGTGAGGTTATGAATAACTCTAAATCAGGGCTCTTTTTGTAGAAAAAGCCCAGCAGGAACTCATTAGCATAATAGGCCACACCCAACAGCAGGAACTCATTAGCATATTGGGCCACACCCACGACAGCACAGCTCATTAGCATACTAGGCCGCACCCCCATGTTACCAGAAGTGTGGTTATCCAGCCACACCCACCTTTTGCTTGTTATTCTGTTTACCTTGTTTGTTGTCAAAACCCAGGGTTTTTTTGTAGCGGGAACTCCTTTGCATGTTAAGCCACACATCCCTAATGTAGCCAATCCTAATGAGTTTCTGCTGTTGGGTGTGGCCTATTATGCTAATGTGTTCCTGCTGGGCGTGGCCAACTTGGGAGCCAGCCGGAACTCCGTTCCTGTGCGTTCCTGCCCAAAAATAGCTCTGATAATAATAACTCTTCAGCATTCTAGTCAGAAGCTCTGTTTAACAGGGTGCCTTTTAATCTGCGTAGCCAATCAGATCTCCAGTGGTGAATCAGAAACCTTGCTGGGGAAAAGGCTCCTTCTGGCTCCCCCCACTTTCTTAAAACATTTAGTAAGTGCCAAGAATGTCATTGGCAGGTGCCTGATACCAATGGGCACCAGGGGCTATCACTTCGCTTGTCAATACGTGTCAGAGGCTTCACTGCCACAAGTACAATGCAGCATAGGTGTCAATAATAAATGTAGCACTAGTGACAGGTTATCCTATAAGCATCGGACTAGGGAGTAAACTTGGATACATGTTACAGCTGAAGCAAAAAAAAATTTTTAGAATTTCAAAACTTGTAAATCTTGTTTCTGAAACTTGACTTCAGTGGTCGTTTCAGCAACACGTTACTCTTATTCTTTTTGTTTTAAAATTATTTTTAAAATATATGGGGCAACTTACTAAATTTGATACTTTTAAATTTTTCTGGGTTGTTTTTTTTTTAAGAACAGCAAAATTCAGCAACAGCCATAACTGTCAATGTTGAATTTAAAGACTAGTAATTATATTGTTTGTGGCAGCCCCATTGCTTGTTTGATGCTATGGACCTAATTTTATCATTCAGTTTACAAGCACACACGTATCAGGCAAGTTGTTTTGACGTATGGAAGAAGCAGAATTCTGGACATCCAGGTGTTCCTAAGGGGGCTGAATAATCAGGCTTCGGCCGGAAGGGCAGGATACAAATTGAATCAAATAAATAAATAAACCTTATTTAGGTGCATAGGAAGTACAGAGCTTTGGGCAGAAGAGCTGAGGAAACCTCAGTGGTCTGGCCTTCCTTTAATACCACACCTCTAGCTGTCAATACAAGGATGAAGAGCGGCGACAACAAGGAGTGACACCCCTTTCTGATGGAACGCCACTAAGTTTTACAATTGCAGCCACTAAGAATAGAAGATTAAATTAAAAGAAGACTAGAAGGAATTCACAGACATTAAAAAACAAACTTCACAGACTTCTTTTACAAAGTAAATAAAATAAATAAACAAGTATGTTGGTACAATATATTATGTCATGAAACGTCACTGAGTACATAAAATAAGGGAAGCCATGGTGAATCAGTGTAAGCATCTATCTAGCCCAGCATCCTGTTTTCAAAGGCAGCCAGCCAGATGCATTTGGAGAACCTTGACGTAAGAGATAAAGGCAATAGCCTTTCCCCATTTTCTGTCCGGCAACTGGTATTCAGAAGTACATTGTATATCAATGTGGAGATATCATTTAGCTGTCCCGGATAACAGCTATTAATAGACGTATGAATTCGTCTAATGCTGTTTTAAAGCTATCTGAAGCATCTGACATCACCAAAACCTATGGCAGTGGATTTATTTATTTTTATCCACTCTCTTTGGGAAAACAATAGCTCAAATTGGCTCACAACAATATAAATAAAATACGTAAATAACATTAAAAATAAGAAATAAAAGCACTGAACATAAAAATTAAACCAATTTTTTAAACTGCAGCAGGTAGTTTAAAGAATCATTTAGGTAAAGGTAAAGGTTCCCTTGCTCGAAAGCCAGTCGAATCCGACTCTAGGGTTGCGGTGCTCATCTCCGTTTCAAAGCCGAAGAGCCAGCGCTGTCCGAAGACGTTTCCGTGGTCATGTGGCCGGCATGACTAAACACCAAGGCGCACGGAACGCTGTTACCTTCCCACCGAAGTGGTCCCTATTTATCTACTTGCAATTTCTTGCTTTCGAACTGCTAGGTTGGCAGGAGCTGGAACTAGAGACAGGAGCTCACCCTGTCTTGCGGCGCCCGGGTCTTGAACTGCTGAACTACTGACCTTCCACAGCCTGCAGTTCAGCGTCTTAACCACTTGAGCCACCGCAGCTCAAAAAGAATCATTTAGACAGAGCAAAAAAAAATTTTGGGGACAAATTAGTTGCCTTAAGAAAATCCAGTTATAAATCAGCAGCAGTCAAGGGAGGGGAGGGAACAGGAAAACCAACAAAATGCCTGGAGAAATGACATGGTTTTTGCCCTAAGTCCTAAGTATAATATGTCCATGTCAAGCAAAGGCTGAAGGGAGGAAATTCCCACACTGAGGCACCACAGCTGAATAGGCCCTGATTGCCATGTTACCTTTGACAGAGAAGTACACAGACCAAGACCCGCCAGGCATGTTCATAACAGGGGCAGGTAGTCCTTTTCTTGTCCCAGACTACACAAGTTTTTAAATATAAGAACTAGAACTTTGAATTGTGCCAGAAGTGAACTGGTAGGATTACGTGCTTCTTTTAAAACTGGTACAATGTGTTCTTTATAACTTATGGCAGTCAGCAATCCCACTGCTGTGTTCTAAACTAACTGCGGCTTCATTACAGTGGGTAGGATCCCGTCATCTTTCCTGCTGGTGAAAAAAAGGAGGAAGGATACCCTTTGACCATGAAGGCAGCCAGAGGCCATTTTGGGGGGGGAACGCGGGGGATCGCAGTTCCCCCGGGTGAGGTACGGGGGCGTGGCACATGACGAAGCCCCGCCCCCTGCTTCCGGCGCCCTGCTTCCGGCCCTCATTCAGCCAGGAGGAGGCAGGAGAAGAGGGAGGGTAAGTTGCTTCCTCCCTGCCTCTCCCCACCCCTGCCTGCCTGGGGCCAGGGAGGGCCTTCGCGGGGCTTCCTTGCACTCCCACCGGCCTTGAAGGTCCACCGCCGGGCCCCTCATGGAGCTCGGCAGTGGAGCTGCAAGGCCGGCGGCGGCGGCCGGGACTGCTGGGGGCAGGGTGTGTGGCCTTATGACACACTTCCAGTGATGTCAGGGTGTGTGGCCTTATGACACACTTCCGGTGATGTCAGGGGGTGTGGCATATGCTAATGAGTTATGCTAATGAGTTCCCCTAGCTCTTTTTCTACAAAACGACCCCTGAAGGCAGCTATGCTGGGGATCATGAGCTCTACATGGAAAAAAGTCATATGGGATCGGGGCTGTAGCAAGGAGGAGAATTGGGCAAGATTAAGCAAAAAATCTGGCTGGATCCAACCTAGTGTTGAACGACAATACCACGTTGAGTACATTACAGTTTGGTGTAGTGGTTAAGTGAGTGGACTCTAATCTGGGAGAACCGGGTTTGATTCCCCACTCCTCCACTTGCACCTGCTGATGTGACCTTGGGTCAGTCACAAGCTCTGGCATAGCTGTTTCTGAAAGAGCAGTTTGTGTCAGAGTTCTCTCAGCCCCACCCACCTCACAGGGTGTCTGTTGTGGGGAGGGGAAGGGAAAGGAGTTTGTAAGCCGCTCTGAGACTCCAAGTGAAGGGCGGGGTATACATCCAATCTCCTCCTCCTCCTCCTCCTCTTCTCTTCTTCTTCTTCTGCTTCTTCTTCTTCCAGTAACTTGTGATCAAAGCATGGATAACTATGCCCAGATCTTCCTTTTTAAGGAAAAGCCCAGCTGGTACACTAACTAAAATTAATTAAAGGTGCTGAAAACTAAGCCTCCATCTATAGACATGGATAGGGGCGTGCAAAAAAAACCCCAAACCACGCGGTATTTTTCAGATATGGGTATACTGAACCCAAAAAATTGGTATTTTCTAATATTCCCGAATCCAAATACTGGTATGGTTTTCGGATTTGGGAAATATTTGGGAAACCTGAATTTTTTTGGCTCCATGGGGAATGGTCCCCTTAGGGTATAATGGAGAACTGACCTGCAATAGGAGCTAGACCAGGATTGGCCGGGGCAGCAGGAGCTGAGAACTCCACGCCGCCTTGACTGGGGCTGGCTCCTCTTGCAGCTCAGTTTAAACTGAGCTGATCCCCAGCTGAATATAATAATAGATATTAATAGAAAGGAGAAATACAGTTGCATGCCATCATCTTACTGCTGACACTTCACTCCAAATCTCAGGTTTATCTAGATGGAGCTTTAGTGTATTGTTCCTCACACAGGCAATTACAATTCCAGACATTCACTCAGGAAGTCCATCATCTCACATGACCCAGCTAAAAA